AAAATAAAACAGAAGTGGCATTCACTACAAGATGATTAGTTAAACCTGCACTGTTTTGCATTTTGTGACTTTCAGTCAAATAAAATACTATTTCCAGTCATGTATTTCATCCTTGAAGATTTAATTAAACTAGTGTTAAAATATTGTCTCGGCACATCTCGTTTTCATGAACCCAATATCTTGTATTGTCTCGTCTCGTGAGCTAAGTGTATCATCACACATCAAAACTCTGAGGGGCTGTAGGACTCTTAGGTAAGGATAAAAATTGTTCTACACAGATTTGAATGAATTTATTTGAAGTTTATCTTTTTTATGCTGTGTTACATTTTGAGACCTGAAACAGTGACATCTGAAGAATTTAAAGAGAAAATGTCTGTTTGGTGGAACTGCTAATACTCAAACACATCTTAAAGATGACAGGAGGGCCCAAGCAGACATTTCTTTTTGTGAGAGGTCACTGGCCCAACTGGTAGACAATTACTAGTTTAATACTCAGCAGTGCATTATAGTTAGTATTGGTATTACTGTATTTTGATCTGAAAGGTAGCATGTTTCTCTACATGTCAGCTAAATGAAGTGGAAAATGTTTTTTATTGTTAAGTATAGAGTAGAACAAAAATGGAAATATAGACATAAAGTACCTCAAAACTTATGCACAGTACTTAGTTACTTTCCCCCACTGCCGATTAAGATAGTGGAAGCCAACAAGAGAAGAAGATGAGGAGGATATCCAATCCTCATGGCCACCCTCCCCCTCCCCCTCCAGCACTGCTAGAGCACCAGGATGCCTGACTGGGGGAACAACTGCCTGAGGCTGTAAATCAGTGTGTGTGTGTGAGAGAGAGAGAGACAGAGGTCTCTGTATAGGATTGAAAAGTGCTTGACTCTGCTAACATGCTAACATGGTCAAGCAGACTTTCAGGAACAACTTATTTCCAAGGTACAGTACATGTAGAGAGAAAATGGTAAACATTAAACTTCACTTTCCCCAGAATCAACTCACAGGTCTCAGGATCTAACACTAACCTACGAGAAAGTGTCTAACAAGACGTCGAAACTTGAGTAAATCTTGTAAGGAACCTTTTTTTGTCACACTTTTTTTTTTCTAAAAATGTATATTACTATCATGTTACACATACACTATTAACACCATTGATGAGAAGCCTGTGCACAGTCAGCTCAGTGCACCTGACCATTAACTTGAGAAAAGACTCACACTAATGCTGGCTTTGATAGCCCTCTAGTGACCACAGACATGCGCTGGCCAGTTGAGATATGGAGCTATAATTTATCATAATGAGACTTCGTGCAGTTTGGTTGTTTCCATAAAGCAAACTAGGACATTTTAGGTTTTGTCTTTAGATTGAGCCCTGTTGTTATTCTCCCTCATCCTGAAGGCTGTGACTTTTCACTCCCTCTCTATGTTACCTGTGTGTGTGTGTGTGTGTGTCTGTGTGTGTGTGTGTGTGTGTGTGTGTGTGTGTGTACATGCAGTACCCAGGGGAGCATATAAAACCACAGTAATGACCAGTTCTGTTCTGCTTATGCTCCAGCTCTCATATGACACCAATACATTACTCCCTGGTTTCACCCACATGTTAGCTGTGGTAACACAAGGCGCAAGAAAGGGGTAAATAAGAGAAGAGGGGAGGGGAAAGAGGGCAGGTGTTCCCACAACAACCTGAGTGCGTTATATGAAAACATTCCAGGACTAAATAAATAAGGAAAAGAAATCAAATTCAAACCACCTGGGCATTATTGCCAAGACCTGTGCTGGCAGCAAAAACATTTAACACTGCAGAATGTAATTAACAGTTCTCAATTTTCATGTGTCACACTCCATTGAACCTGTGATCTTTGTCTGGCTCTAATTACTGCCAAAAAGGTTTGACAGCTACAACACTGAAGCTCTAACTGGGGAAATTAAACAGCTCATAACTCCAGCTGCATATTGGAAACACTTGCAGATGATTCTTCTCCTCCCTCCTCTGAGTTTATCAAGTCAGCAAATTATATCTCTGAGTACCAAACAAGTTGGCACTAAATCCAAATTACCCGAAATGAGGGGATTTCCACCCACTTTCATCCCGTAAATAATGATTATGGCAGTCCTCTTTTGTGATTATCGTCATACTGTCTCAACTTGCTCATGAATGGTGCCCACTGGGTCTTGATAAACATAATGAGATAATAGTAGCAGCCAGATTTATTCTGACAAGAGGATTGGATAGGCGTCGAGAGTAGGAATAGTTTGACAAACACTGTCAACACAGTCACCCCACAATACAGCACTCAAATGAGATATAAATTTCAGGGATACATTTCAAATTTTTAACAGATGATTATGCCTAATCGTTTTAATAAAAGCTGGGAGAGGTGATAATGTGTCCCATGTGCTTCTCAAGTAATTAAAGCAGTGACAGACTAGACAAAGCTCGCTTATGTTTTATCATTTGAGCCGTTGTCCTCCTAATAAACATATCCTGTTTTATTGGATGTAGTCCTGAGACACAGCGGAATAAAAAATCAGAAGTGTTTTGCAATACACAACAGACTCACAACATATCTCACTGCATTATCTTTTCATCTTCTCTCCAGAGGAGCGGATGCCTTATAAGAGGACAAATAAATCACTCACAGTGCAATCCAAGTATTTCTTATAATGAAATATGTGCTTCTTCAAAGCTGAATTATTCCGGCACTGCAGAAGCTAAATGCATTTAAAATTGTGCATCCATCCATTTTTAACACTTCCTCCACAGGTTAGGTTGGAATCTATTCCATAATGCATGAAGGCTGGTTAACACCTGTCATCGTCTGATCATGTTAACAACTAGTATCAGTGTCTTCTTACGTGTAGGTATTCACCATAACATTAGGATAACATAACTAAACAGCCCTGTTTACAATTAGAATTCAACCTTGCTAATAACTTGAATTATTTGTTCATATCTTTTTGGTTGGGCACATTTACCTTCAAATCCATCTGGAAATGTAACTATTAAGTAATTTGGGAGGACTTTTAATTAGATCTGAGCCCTGCTGATCGTTAGCATCAGTAAATCTCACTGTACTAATTATCTGTCTCGTAAAAGGAAGTCCCCCACAACACATTACAACTTTAAACATAAAGCACAAACATCTCTATGCAGATAAATATCTATGTGACATTCAGACAGTACTCGTATACCAAGAGTAATTAGTCTAACAATGCTCATCCAAACATGTCCAAGCAGCACACTTTGATCCCAGACCTCCTCTAAAGTTTTACCAAAGCCTTTTAAGTAGACACTCAGACACCATCTGTTCTTGATGTGCATTTGAAATTAGAACTTAATGAAATGATTCATGGGTGATTTATTTTTCACAAATAAAACTAAGCTGTAGAGAGATTAACCTTGAAAGATCTACCACGATGATATATTTTATAATCTACATGCATCTCACACAGAAGAAAAGCAAATAGCACTAAACAAAATAGGAACACAGTCACAAACACAGAGGTGATTCAGATGATTATTTTCTTTTATTGCAGAATGCAGTCCAGTTGATCTTTAGGCATACTAGGAATGCAACAAATAGCCTGAACATACCTCAAGTCTTCACGCCACACTGTCCAGATGCTGTCAATGTAAATGTTTCCAAGAAAAAACAAGACAGAAAGCAAAACACATCAACACAACCAAAGGGCTGTTGTATTTCTAACAGCATGGTAGTGTTGAGTAACTGCTTTACACTGTACCAGTGGTAGAAAGTGCATGTGGCTGCAGTGCAATGCATTACATGGTAACACAGCACTGTGCTGTAGAGTCCCCTCAGTGAACACATGAATAAGGTATAAAGGCAGCACACAAATAATACAGCACTCAGGACTGTAGCAGGGCCATCACACAGCAGAGAGAAACACTGGTCAAACAGCAAAAATGTCAGGCTTCTATTTTCAAGATTTGGTAAGAAAACAATTCAGTTATAATTCATAAAAACCAGCAGAGCAAAGATGGAGTGTGTAACGTAAAGTATAATGAAGCTGTAGTGGCCAGTCTCCCTATGTGTGTAGTTAAAGAAAAAGCTTGACATCTCAGTAAATACATTTATTCGCCTTCTTCACAAGAACCAGATGAGTTAGCTTAGCTTAGAGCATGAGACTGGAAACAGCTAACCTGGCACAAAGGCAGAAAAGATTCAAACAGAACCAAGGCCCTTGTTGTGTTTCATTTTTAGAATCCGTACAAAACACTTTGGTTTTTGGATAGGTTAAACAAATATGGTACACCAAGCTTTAGAGATGCTGGAAGGCAAATTGTGTTGCCTTTCAACAGAGACAGGAGAGCTGTCCCCATTTCCAGTCCTTATGCTAAGCAGAGCTATGCTACAGTACCTGGCTGCTTACTGTCATTTCATACAGACATATTTACAAAAATGTCAAACTACCCCTTTAACTGATTGTTAGCAGTTTTATTTTGATCAGACCCATTGTGCTGAATGAGTGTAGCCAAATCTTGTATTCAATACTGTAGATCTCCACCACCTTCTAAGGATACATTTTTGTAGTAGTTAAAACACTACAGATTAAATTCCTGAAACAGCCTTGTCCAGCATTACAGGATTCAATGATCCCTTCCCAAAAAATGAGACTTTGTGCAGATTGTGTGGAAACACACCAAATAAAATATCACTTGCAAACACAGTATAAATCTATATCAAAACCAAGTCAAAGACCTCTAGCAGAGCAGTAATACTGGTAGCTGCAAAACTATGTGTGAAATGTTTGTTACATCACTTGTGTCCCACCCCATATCCAAAGCTGAGATCTAGTATGGTCTATAAAGAAGATTTAGAGTCCTGGTCCTAAATCTCCAGCTGCTTTCAGAGCCAATTGGCTCCAGTGAATCACTTCATATCAACATTGCAGCTGATTTGTTTTACATCCTTTCTTAAACTTTGGCATCTCAGCTGTGAGGTCACTTATCAGTAGAGATTGAGAACAAGTCGGTCGATTATTCCAGGCCAAGGAAAGTTGTTGTGTTTATTCGTCTGAGAACCACATGCAAAAAGTAATGATGAAATCAAACCAAACCAGAGCCATTCCTGGTGGTAACACTAACGAACAAGCAGAGCAGGGGCACAGCATGGAAGATGTGGTTATGCTCTGTATGTTATAGGGAGAATGAATTAGAGTAGCTCAAGTTAATATATAGAGAAAGTAAGGACATGAGGAGCAGAGATGTAAGAAAAAAACAGAAGGAATGCAGGTTTTAGGAAAGAAAAAGGAATGACAAGTGAACTAGGGTCACACAGAGAAGTCAACCCATTTCCTCCTGTTCGTCCTTCCGTTATCATTCACACTCGTTTTCCCGCAGGACGTTGTACATGTTGACGGTGAAGTCAGATGACTTCTTTTCCTTCCGTCTTGGATGTCCAAGCCCTTCATCTTCATCATCTCCATCCTCATCATCGTCTGCATCCCGGTCCCTCTCTTCCTCTGGCTCAGTGCTGGACTCTCCATCATCCTCATCATCTCCTTTTTCCGTCCCCTCCTCCTCCTCTGTCGTCCTTCCCTGTAGAGCCATAATCTCTGGCAAGTCTGGGTGGTTTTCCCAGTGCTCTGTAGACCATAAATAATGCCAAAAATAAATGAGTTCAACCCACCTGCTGTCAACTTGAAATGGAATTGATGAGTCATGAAGAGCCTCTCTTACCTCTCAGGCAGCTGTAGCCAGGTGGTGTGAGGCAGAGGCACAATCTGCCATCGACTGCCAAGCGTAGGAGACTATTAGCTGCACGATAAACATCATTGCGAGCTGCTTTTGCCGTTTTATATCCTCTCTTCTCTGCCCATGCTAATGATCACAAAGAGAGATTGAACAGAGGGGTGTTGATGACAGTATATCATAGCTATTATTATTTTTTTTTTTTTTTTTTTTTAGAGCCAAGAAATCTAATGAAAAACCAAACCCAGCAATGCACTGGTAGTAAGTACTGCCTGTGTAGTCAAATCCTATTTTGGCATATTTCCAGTTGTCCAAAACTATTAAAACATCAATACATGTTCTTCTTTAAAATGCACTTGAATATTAAATCTTATTTTGGGTCAATTTCATACACACCACCTGCTGCCATAAATTCATTGGACCAAAGGCTGACAACTGTCCACCAACAGTGCTCAGCTGTTTTAGGAGATTATTTACCCATTTTAAAAATGAAAGTAAATATCTGAGTCCTGTTTTGAAGACTGACATCTTGTGTAGGAATAAATGACCTTGGGACTGAGTTCCAGAGACAGGCTAGTAATGTCAGGAAGCATTAAGAGACTATGACTGCATTCACAGGATTTGTTGGCAATAATAATAATAAAAAAAAGACAGAATAATGCCAGTGTTCACCGGATCAGAGTTGGAATTGGCTTTTTACAACTGATAATGAGCCATGAATTTGGTCATTTTTCTCTCAAAATGCATGATTCACAAACTCTTAAAAACAAACAAGTGAAAACAGACTTACCTTCACAGACATCCCAGGCAGTCCAGCTGAGCTCTTCAGACCCTTGACCTCCATGCTGGGGTTCATTTTCCAACAAGCTGGGATGTTTTAGCTTCAGTACAGAGAGGAAGGGGGTCCTCTCACACAGATAACCGACAGAGCTGTAGGGCTCCTGCAGCTGGGACACTGGATAGATGCCTGCTAGAATCTATACATCATAAAATCAAAGATAAAGGTACAAAATAGTAGGAGAAAGAAAAAGATCAATATGAAAAATCACTCTGTATACTAAAAATCCTTTCCTCAGTATCCAAAAACTGTTTGAAAGGTTGAGCAGCTTTAACACAGTACAGCTCTGGAACTCATCAGGAGCCTTTGACATACAAGTTGAAATGTAAGAAAAAAAAAAATCAATAATCCATCTTTCCAGAACTATGTGAGCCAACACAACCCAAGTTTCTACTGAGCCTAAAGAGGCAAGTACACACAAACAAATCACATCTGTTTTCAAACAGACTAAAGTGAGCTTGTACCTGTAACTGTTTATTGACACGGGAGGGAAAGACCAGTCCAGGGCAGTCGCAGAGTTTGACAGTGGGGGTGAGGTAGTAGGTCTGGAAGTATTTGGTGTGGCCTGGAGTTCGAGACACACTCACCACCTTCCTCCCCACCAGGCTGTTGATTACAGATGACTTACCAACATTTGGAAAGCCTGGAAATAAAAGGTTTATGAGTTCATTATCAGTCCTTAGTATTTCCAAATTATGGACTTTGTTCAGTTTTCTAATGATAACCTGAAGACTGACCAGATTCAATATTATTCTTAAAAAACTTTAACTCTTAACTTTTTGACAACAGTATATTTCAGATGGGAAGATACAGTATAGATACAGTCCACTGTAGCTGGACAAAAATATTTCTACTAGATCACATTAAAGTATCTTGGAGAGAGGTTAAACTGGGAAAATACTACCAAAGCATCTAATAAGAGAGATTGTGGATCACATTGTTTTTCCTAATCACAATAAAGTGCAACAGATCAATTTCACTTTTATCTTTATCTTATTACTCTTGATAAGTCTTCTGTCTAGTGACTAGAACAGAAAGGTACTAGCTATTCTGACTAATTATCTTACATTACTACCTTGTGATGACCAAAAAATGGCAAGAAAGTGTTGAGAAATTCCATTTAACATGTTATTTAGCAACATCTTGATCTTCTTCACAAGAACTGTCAATGATTTTAAAAAAAATTTGTTTGCCTTAGTTTCTCTCTAAAACTTCAGATGCATTATACCTATACAGCCCAATGTAAGAACCCCATCTTTGTAGAGTTCCTGTGATGGACTGCTCATCTCCATAGCACTGTCACTCTGATGCTCCATCAGCACCAACTCTGCTCCTTCATCTGTCTGCTCCCCATCAAGAGTCTCTGCAACTGCATCTCTCTGGATCTTCTGCTCCCAGCTGGACAGATCAACTGTGAAGAAAAAAGAAATGTAATAAAAATGTGCAGATGGAAGTAGTCACGTAGACAACTTAATGCATGTGTTATAATGGTTTTATTATACATAAGCAAGCTGAAGAGTAGACACCCACCTCTCCCTGCTGTTATCTCTTGACAGGCCTTCAGGATTTCTATAGGACCTCCAGCGTTATTCCAGTCAGCCTTCTTCCTCATCCGCCTTTTTTGAAGCACTATGAACCAGCAGAGAGACAGACGATCATTGAGGTTATTCTGGTAATGGCACTGAAATAAGTTCATTTAAGCGGCAGGTTTATTTCAATTTTCGGGTTTGTCTGATATCATCTTTTATGTACGCCACTCAGCTTTCCTCCTACGCCAACAGTTTCTCTCTTCCTCCTACCCTCTCCTCACCTGTGCTGTAGGGCAGTCCACGGTGGGAGGTGAAGCAGACAATTTGCAGGTGGGGGAACTGAGAGGCCATGTAGTGTTTCCAGGCAATTACCAGTGGGGGTGGACATAGGTCGGCTTTGTTCAACACCAGGACCATATGCTTCTGCAGATTTCCTGTGATGTACTGGTACATAGCTGGAGGGAACTGCAGCACCTGCGTAGGTGGTTTACATGAGGACACCTTGTTAAAAGAGTGATTATGGCAACTTCGGCAAATAAACCACTAGATCATATCATCATCATTAGGTCCAAGATAAGATGTGCTTTTTTTACATTGCACTGAAACTGGAAACTGTGAAATATAAGAGAAGTGAAGTTAACATAAAACATATATGGAATGAAAATGTTGAAATAAATCTGATGTTTTATAACTGGAATCAAAGAAGTGAATTTCATTTTTACTTGGAATCACATCATGAGCAGCAAGGAATGAACAAGATCACAACAATATACATAGGATTTTATGAGACACTTTGGAAGGAAAACAAATGGTGAAATACTGAGAGATACTACACAGCTTATTAGATCAGACAAATCCAAATATAAAATATGACTTTTGATGTTTTTTGTCTTCATACCTATGTCTATTTCAGTATGAATGTAAGATCTTTTACAACAGGTCAATAAACTGATAAATAATAAACACCATATCATGTATTAAGGTGGATCTGGGCTTTGTCTCCATCTAGTGGCATGATTTGTCTTGCAGGCTTTTGCTCACAAGATCACCTACCGGGAGCCTGATATCTACAATGAGCAGAATGACATCGGACATCTCCAGTACTCTCCACAACTGCCTCCATGTCTAAATGAGCGGGAAAAGGAGTGGGAAACACCATTAGGATTAATACTGTAAATAAAGCAAAGTAATATCTATCAATTCACAGTTTCTGTTCTTACTCAGAATCATAATTTATTAGGAAAAGAACAGCAAAAGATTAGGATTTTTAATACTGAGTCCATATTTATTACTGGTAGTTCAGTTTTGATACTGTAAGAATACTATGGAGTCTCACAGGAAAAACATTGTACTCAAACAAGCAGCTTATTTATATTATTTTTTTCCAATGTTTTGATCCTCAGCTCCACTTAAAAACCCATCATCTCTAGATTACTGAGAGTCCTTATTACCGCAACAGCTGAACCAGCTCCCTGAGCTCAGCCCACGCTGTGTTTAAATGATCTGCAGGCTTTTTGGTCTCGAAAAACAGTGTTACCATTTTCACAGCCTGAGCAATAACACAGCATGTATGATGGTACTTTGTTGCCAGTGGAAAACACCATACAATATGCAGGTATGTCATACAATTCTTACATATCTCTCCATGATGTACATTTACCAGAAATATTCAGTTCATGATGCATCCTGGAGTTACACACTCAACAACAGCCTCAACAGTTACTGTATATATTTTAGATAAAAAGCAGCAAAATGTGCAAGGCAAGCATCAATTTACAAGAAAATCATTCTGCACAGGAAAGGTGCAGAAAAATTTGCAGCTTATAGCAGCATTTTGCCAATTTTCTGCCACTAAAACCTGGTTCTCATATAATAAAAATAGTTCTATGGCTGCATGTGAAACCTACTGGTCTCAATTGAGAAAAAACAAAACAAAAAGAACAATTCATACAGAAGTTAAAAAAAAAGTAAGTGTATACAATGAATAATAATGAGCTGTCCCTGGTAGGCTAGTGGTTCGAATCAGGGTTGCGTCAGGAAGGGCATCCGGCATAAAACAAATGTGCCAAATGTCAACATGCGAGTCGTCAGTGTGACGATTCGCTGTGGCGACCCCTAAACGGGAAAAGCTGAAAGTGACTTTCTTTATACAATGAATAATAATAAACTGCCTGATCCTGGGTCTAACAAGATAAGTGAATTTCATAAGTGCTTCTATTTCAACAATGAACAACAATAACCTTGCTATGTCTTACACCTTTATCTGAGGTAGTTTAGATTGCTGAGATTCAACAGGTATGTTGCAATTCTTCAAGTCTGTTGGAAGTGAAGTCCCACATTTGGTCAATTAATTGTTTGATTTTCAAAACAGGTTGCCTAGTCCAGCAATGGCACTCTGATGGTCAAAATGTCTCCAAAAGTAAATCATGTTAGTTAAGTTACTTACCTCAAGATTGTGCTCAAAGTGGCTGAGGGAGCCAGCTGGGTTTCTGGAGTGTAGGTCATCCAGGTACTCTCTATAAGATTTCTCCTCTTTCCTCCGTAAGCTCTCTCGTGTCATCTCATAATTCCAGGACGGCCGTCGTGGGAAACCAAGACCTAGCCATGAATAATTAAGTTTCAGCATGTCAAGCAGTGATCCACTCCATTAAGTTTAACCTGCTCTGTTAACCTGTTTGGCTTATTTTGAGACCATCAAGTGAATAACATTAAAATAAACAGCCAAACCTTTTTCTGAGGGATAGATGTCATTAATGTCAATCTCAAGTTCTTTGTCTGAGACAGGCTGCAGTGCCTTCTCTATGGCCAACTTCTTTCTCTTTTCCACCTCCTCTTTACTCTCTCTCTCAAAATGCAGCCGGAACCTGAGGAGAGGCGTAAGATGGGGCGTTAACAATGTTACTTTTCAAGACAATGAGCCAGTATATCTTAAATGAAATGAAAAAATACTGCATAAATGTTATTTGTTACCTCAAGTTAGTTACAATTAAGTAAGTTAGAACATCGACAGGTAAATAGTATGAGGTCAAATTTATTTAATTTTAAGTAATCAAGATCAAGGCCATTTTGAATAAAATAGAGTATACCCAGTGCATTTAGGCCTCTATAAATGAAACATAAGACACAGAGTACAAAAATGTGTATCTACTACAGCAGAATCTGAAATCTTTCAAAATACCATTCTTTCAAATAAAATGAATCAAAGAGGGTATTAGTAATAATACCTATTAGGGTCATATCTCCCTTCTCTGTTAAAGGGCTGCTGGTTTATCCTCCTAACATCAGTGGTCTCACTGTCAGAGGTATCCGACTGTCCCTCTCCTCCTCGCTCCACGCTGGCATTGCGGCTGCTCGGCCCAGAACCTGTGTCACCTGGAAGTCAATGCCCAAAATAGGAGTGCACAGTCAAACGCAGGCATAGGTTACATCACACACATAAATCCAATACAAAGATCCACTTCTTCCAATTATATCAGTAGTTGCAGATAGCATAATGCTTTCTCCCGGGTGTCCTCAACCACGCCCCCTTCCAGAAAGAAATGTGGCTGACAAGTTTAACTGAAGCAAACAGCAAAATACTTTCAAAGGACAAAGTAACAAGTAGCTGAACAGTAACATTATACACTGTGGCCTCCTGTACTGATGAATTTAGTAACCACCATAGACGGATAATATGACCTTTATA